TGAAGAGGCCATTGGTGACCACGTCGGTGGAGGTGAAAATCAGGACGTTCCCCTTCAGGTCTCCCACGCAGAAAACCCCTTTGCACCCATCTGTCCTGGTTGAAAGAGGAAGGAACGAGAAATAGGTTGCTGTGGGCACCCAGCCTGGCAAGGCCTGAGGGAGACGGGCAACGATTTGGCAGTCCGCAGAAGATCTCCATGGGGTCCTTGGTGCCCTCCCAGCTGGGACATTTTTTGAAGATGCTTTTCATTACCAAACTAGGTGCTGTCATCAGCGCTAGGGAGGAGGACTGTGGGGTCCTTGGGGCTCTCTGAGCTTCGTTGTTTTCTTGCAGATGTTTCATTACCCAACTAGGGAACATCATCAGTGGGAGAAGAGAGTGGAGTTTGCAGAGAGGAGGAGGGGGAGGGGGAGGAGAAGTGGAGGAGGAGGAGAAGTGGAGGAGGACGACTGTGGGGTCCTGGGTGCTCTCTGAGCTTGGTGGTTTTCTTGCAGACGTTTCATGACCCAACTAGGTAACATCATCAGTGCTAGAAGGAAGGTTTGCAGAGAGGACAAGGAAAAGGAGGAGGAGGAGGAGGAGGAGGACTGTGGGATCTTTGGTGCTCTCTGAGCTTGGCTGTTTTCTTGCAGGCATTTCATGACCCAACTAGGGAACATCATCACTGCTAGAAGAGAGTGGAGTTTGCAGAGAGGAGGAGGGGGAGGGGGAGAGGGAGGAGAAGTGGAGGAAGAGGAGGAGGAGGAGAGGAAGATAACTATGGGGTCCTTGGTGCTCTCTGAGCTTGATAGTTTTCTTGCAGACATTTCATGACGCAACTAGATAACATCATCAGTGCTAGAAGGGAGTGGGGTGTGTGGAGAGGAGGAGGAGGAGGAGGAGGAGGAGGAGGAGGAGGAGGAGGAGGAGGAGGAGGAGGAGGAGGAGGAGGAGGAGGAGGAGGAGGAGAACTGTGGGGTCCTTGGTGCTCTCTGAGCTTGGCGTTTTCTTGCGACGTTTCATGACCCAACTAGGGAACATCTCAGTGTTAGAAGGGGAGAATTTGCAGAGAGGATGAGAGGAGCGGAGGTAGGAGGAGGAGGAGGAGGAGGAGGAGTAGTAAGGGAGAGGAGGAGGAGGAGGAGGAGGAGGAGGAGGAGGACTGTGGGGTCCTTGGGACTCTCTGAACTTGGATGATTTCATGCAGACATTTCAGCAGTGGAAGATCTTCCACCTTGAACCACAATTGTGGAATCACAGTGTTGAAGGGGACCCCAGAGAACATCTAGTCCGGCCTACAAAGAATGGCTTGCCTTGTCAGAATGGGTAAGACCCCCAGTCCCAACCCCCCAATTCCCCCCCACACACACACTGAAAGGGCCAGCCAGTGTAGATAAACAGAGAGCAAAAAAAGAGGAATTTTCTTTGGCTCTCGGTGGTTTCATGAGCCACGGCTCCCATCGCTCCACAGATGCCCCCAGCAATAGGAGACAGTCCCACCCAACCTTTACACACACACACACACACACACACACACACACGACCTACCAGTAGTCCATGGCTGTGGCACATCCATCCAAGTCGACTAAGGAAAAAAGGCGGTCGCATTTGTTGCCTCCAATGTCAAAGAACTCTGGGTGGAAAGAGAGACAGTGGTTCTGGCAACCTCACATTTGTGAAAGGAACACACCAAAAAGAGAGGGGGGGGAGGGAAGAAAGAAAGAAAGAAAGAAAGAAAGAAAGAAAGAAAGAAAGAAAGAAAGAAAGAAAGAAAGAAAGAAAGAAAGAAAGAAAGAAAGAAAGAAAGAAATGTAAGGAAGGAAGGAAGGAAGGAAGGAAGGAAGGAAGGAAGACAGAAAGAAAGAAAGAAAGAAAGAAAGAAAGAAAGAAAGAAAGAAAGAAAGAAAGAAAGAAAGGTGAGAAAAGAAGGAAGATGGAAAGAAAGAAAGAAAGAAAGAAAGAAAGAAAGAAAGAAAGAAAGAAAGAAAGAAAGAAAGAAAGAAAGAAAGAAAGACGGAAAGGCAATGAGTGGAAACTAATCAAAGAGAGAAGCAACCTAGAACTAAGGAGAAAGTTTGTAAAAGTGAGAACAGTTAATCAGTGGAATGACTTCCCTCCAGAAGTTGTGGGCGCTCTATCACTGGAGGTTTTCAAAAATGAATAGAATAGAATAGAATAGAATAGAATAGAATAGAATAGAATAGAATAGAATAGAATAGAATAGAAGCTGGAAGGGACCTTGGAGGTCTTCTAGTCCAGCCCCCTATTTATTTATTTTATTTATTTATTTATGAGACTTATATACCGCTTTAAGTGCAAGCACTCTCTAAGCGGTGTACACCAGTAAGCAATGTATATATATATTTACATTGCCCCCAACAATCTGGGTCCTCATTTTACCTACCCCATACCATTTCAGATAGGTGATTGTCTAGTCTCTTCTTAAAAACCTCCAGTGATGGAGCACCCACGATTTCTGGAGGCAGGCTGTTCCACTGGTTGATTGTCCTCACTTTCAGGCAGTTTGTCCTTAGATCCAGGTTGCTTCTCTCTTTGGTCAGTTTCCAACCCTTGTTTCTCGTCCTTCCCTCTCGTGCTTTGGAGAATAACATGACCCCCTCTTTCTTGTGGCAGCCCCTCAGATACTGGAACGCTGCTATCATGTCTCCCCTATTTCCTCTTTTCTTTAGACCAGCCAAACCCAAGTCCTGCAGCCGTTCTTCGTATGTTTTAGTCTCCAAGCCTTGAATCATCTTAGTTGTTCTTCTCTGAACTTTTTCCAAACTCTCAACATCTTTTTTGTGATAAGGGGACCAGAATTGGCTGCAGTGTTCCAGGTGTGCCATTGCTAGGGCTTTATAAAGCGGTGCTAATACTTTGCGTGATCTTGCTTCTATGCCTCTGTTTATACAACCCAGGATTGTGTTGGCTTTTATGGCTGCTGCTGCACACGGCTGGCTCATAGTCAAGGGATCGTCCACGAGGACTCCAAAGTCCCTCTCCCAGTTGCTGTTTTTGAGCCAAGTCTCGCCCAATCTGTATTTGTGCCTTTGGTTTTTCCTGCCTAAACGTTGAAATTCATTTTGTTGGATAGGGCTCATCCTTCACGTTTGTTCAGATCTTTTCGAATCTCCATAGACATTTCTCAAAATGTATGTTGGAAATGCAATTTTCGATGGACTTGTGACGAAGCAAAGAAGCATTTGGGCTCCGATTCACGTTGCAGTGCAAAAACCTCTTACGGCGAGCATAAAATTGAAAACTGAAGTTTTCCTTTTAGGAAAGGAAGATTGTCTTTGACTTACACAGTTTTTTTTAGTGACTATCGGAAGTTAACAACGGCACGGGAACAAAAAAGGACTCGTGACCATTTTTCCCACTTATGAACATTGCCTCTCCAACTGCTTCATATTTATGACGGCTGCCACATCCTGGGGTTGTGTGATCCCCTAGGGCAGTGGTTCTCAACCTGTGGGGTCGAACGACCATTTCACGGTGGTCGCCAAACAACGCAGTCCTCCATTTTTTTCCCCCTTTTCCTTAGCTGTGCTACTCCTTTTTATTCTATTGGCTTTCGAAAGCCAATAGAATAGACTCTCTTGAATAGAGTCTAATTCTATTGGCTTTCAAAAGCCAATAGGAATTGTCCAGGCTGTCTCTGCCCTGCTGAGCCCGCCCAAAGTCCCATTCTGCAAACGGGGCTGCACCAGTTGAGTAGTCCTCGACTTACGACCGGTTGAGTAGTCCTCGACTTACGACCGGTTGGGGGGTCGCAGCATTAAAAAGGTTGAGAACCACTGCCCTAGGGGGACTTTGGGGAGAAGCAAACTCAAATGGGGAAGCCAGAGTCACTCTGCACACACAGGGACCCCCCCCCAAGAGACCCAGATCAAGGGACCACCATGATAAATGGCTTACCAATATCCTGGTCTGTGGTCGAAACCGCCAAAAGATTGAGGTTGGGTAGGCATAACATGTCAATCACCCAGAGCTTCAAACTGTGACGTCGCTTCGTCTGGTCCAGCTGTGGTTTGGAGAGAGAAAACAGAGAATAACCAAATTGAAGGGACCTTGGAGGTCATCTAGTCCAACCCCCTGCTCAGGCAGGAAACCCTACACTATTTCAGACAAATGGCTGTCCAGTTTCTTCTTAAAAACTTCCAGTGTTGGAGCATTCATCGCTTCTGGAGGCAGATTGTTCCACTGGTTAATTGTTCTCACTGTCAGGAAGTTTCTCCTTAGTTCTAGGTTGCTTCTCTCCCTGATTTAGTTTCCATCCATTGCTTCTTGTCCTGCCTTCAGGCGCTTTGGAGGATAGCTTGACTCCCTCTTCTTTGGGACAGCTCCTGAGAGATTGGAACGCTGCTATCCTGTCCCCCCTCATCCTTCTGTTCATTAAATTAGACATACTCAATTCCTGCACCCACAACTTCTGGTGGCAAGTTGTTCCACTGGTTAATTGTTCTCCCTGTCAGGAAGTTTCTCCTTCGTTCCAGGTTGCTTCTCTCCTTGATTAGCTAAATGATACCAGACGGACTTCTTCAGGAGATCCCGGACACCTCCCCCCTCCCCCCCAGGAGAAACTGAGTCACCTACATATACCGTCCGGAGCATCTTAAAAGCGTCGCTCCAGTAATGCAGAATCCCGTCTCTGCTCACGGTCAGGAAGCGTCCTGAGGGAGGCCGGCTGCTACTTTTCCACGTTTTCTCCATCAAGCCCCGAGCCTGGCTCGGGAAAAACTGGATCCGGACGATGTCCTCCGAGTGGGACCTACGGGAAGGACAGCGAGGAAGTTGAGGGGGGGGGGAAATCAGCCGATAAAAGAAGCATCTCTTTAGGTCCCAAATGTGCTTTGTTCAGGAGGCAACTGAACTTCCTTGTATTTCTTTGAAGAGGTTTCACTTCTCATCCCAGAAGCTTCCTCAGGTTCTGACTGGATGTGGGGAAGGGAAGGATTTATACTCCTTGCAGACAGCCAGTCTTTTGTCTCTTTTTGGAGAGTCCTTGAGGCCACTTGGAGGTTTATCTGTGTCCTCAGTGGTGCTTTTTCCGGAGGCAACTGGACTTTCTTGTTGTGGGAAGTCAGCCCCCCTCCCAAGAGAAAGAAATATTTTTGGAAATATTTAAGAGGCAGAAAAGCATGCCCAGTTTTCTTTCTTAATAGCCCCAAGTCTCCCTCCCTCAAGCAGAAACCAGCTCTGTAGAAATGCAGATGTGATAATCCATTCAGGAAAGTTGGAGCTAGAAGCTTAGGAAGACAAAGACCACCTAAAATCTACATAGCCCACCCAAACTCTAAGACAGGACATAATAGGATTAGCCCCCAGAGGCCAAAGGGCACACCCAGACTCAGGTCAGAATACATGACACAGGAAATACAAAGCCTCAAACAGGAACAGGAAATAACTCCAAACAAAAGGCTCCAGAGGGTATAAAAACCCACTCCCTACATGTGCTTGCTCTCTTTTCTTCCAGAACCAACTTTCTGTCTGGCTCTCCTCTCCAATACACTGCAACCTTCTTTCTAAAGCAGCCGCCATGTTGTTTATTCCCGGCTTGGACTGAATCACGTTGAAGGCTTTTCCTTCAACATTGTTTTTCCTTGAAGACATTTTGCTTCTCATCCAAGAAGCTTCTTCAGGTTCTGACTGGGTGGTGGGGAATGGAAGGACTTGGAATACCTCTAAATCTGCGGTCTCCAACCCTTCTCAGTTGGCGGACTGGAGGGAAAGGGAGGAGAAAGCATTTTACACGTGCGTGCACGCACACACACAAATGGGGCTGTGAGCACATGTGATGCAAATGAGGCAGTGCTTGCGCCCACATGACACTCACTAGCCCTGCCCCGTTTTTGCTGCGGGGGCGTTAGCACCTCCCTGTTTTCACTGTGCGCTGCCCCGTTTGTGCCGCGCACCACCCCATTTTCATAGCAGCGACACTAGTGCGAGTAAGAGTGACTGCATGCCCACGTGTGTGTACACCGGCTAGCCTGTCCCGTGGCCAGCAGGCCATGGTCCAGTAACGGGCCACAGCCCACAGGTTGGGGACTCCTGCTCTAAATGGTCTGAACGACTCTCTAAAAGCAGGCAAAGGACCAGCTGTCTGCAAGGAGTATAAATCCTTCCATTCCCCACCATTCGGTCAGAACCTGAGGAAGCTTCTTTGGATGAGAAGCGAAACGTCTTCAAAGAGAAAAATGAAAGTCCAGTTGCCTCATGAAAAAGCTACACGTTTCTTCTCTCTTCTCCAGAATTGTGTATGTTCAAGAGCAGTTGCAGAAGCTGCCCACCCCATAAGAGGTGAAAGGATGGGGGGGGGTCTAGAGGTGGCAACTCACTTCATGCCTCCATGTTTTGAGGACTTTGCTGTCCCTTGTCTTTCAAATGCAAATGGACCACTGAATCTTATCCTGATGGGTTTGTTCTCCTAGGACAGTGTTTCCCAAACTTGACAATTTTAAGGCATGTGGACTTCAACTCCCAGAATTCCATAGCCAGCATTACTGGCTGTGGAATTCTGGGAGTTGAAGTCCTCATGCCTTAAAATTGTCAAGTTTGGGAAACACTGTCCTAGGATGTACCCTGCATTTGTGAAGTCGTTGTTTCGTTTCCCCAAGGTACATGTGCAGAGTCAACGACTCTCTAAAAGAAGGCAAATGACCAGCTGTCTGCAAGGAATATATAAATCCTTCCGTTCTCTCACCATCCAGTAAGAGCTGAAGAAGCTTCTTGGATGAAAAGCAAAACATCTTCAAGGACAAAAACAAAAAGTCCAGATACCTCGCAAAAATGCTTCTTTGGGACAACCAGGACCTGGAGAATCTCCATAGTCCAGGGATAGGCCACCTTGGCTCTTTTATGACTCGTGGACTCCAACTCCCAGAATTCCTGAGCCAGCCACGCTGAGGGGAAAGGGAGAGGTTTCCAAGCTGAGCCAGGCTGGCTCAGGAATTCTGGGAGTTGAAGTCCACGAGTCACGAGGGGGCCATAGTTCCCCCATGCTGGCTCAGGAATTCTGGGAATTGAAGTCCACGAGTCATGAGGGGGCCATAGTTCCCCCATGCTGGCTCAGGAATTCTGGGAATTGAAGTCCACGAGTCATGAGGGGGCCATAGTTCCCCCATGCTGGCTCAGGAATTCTGGGAATTGAAATCCACCAGTCATGAAGGGGCCATAGTTCCCCCATGCTGGCTCAGGAGTTCTGGGAGTTGAAGTCCACGAGTCATAAAAGAGCCAAGGTTGCCTACCCCCACCATAGTCTCTTTGGGTCCTTTTCAGCTGGCATTATAGAGGACAATATTTGGGGTGGGGGAGAGAGAGCTAGACGAAGATTCCCACCCTGTGCAGATAAGTCCTCAACTTATGACATTTGGGAGTGGAATTTCGATCGTAAGTCGAGTCACCACGTGACCAGATTTGATTTTATGCGCAGTCTGATAGCAGTCATGAAAAAAATGAAGTGGTTGTTGAAGTGAATCCAGCTTCCCAAGTGGACTTTTTTGCCCTAAAACTGGCAAAAAAAAAAGGTCCACAATTAAGCGGCTGCAGAATGCTGCAGTCTGTCGAATGTCAGCTGGTTGCCCAGTGTCCAAATTGCACAACGGCATGACGTTTCATGACCCAGGTAGGGAATATCATCAGTGCTAGAAGGGAGGGGGGCTGTGGAGGAGGAGGAGGAGGAGGAGGAGGAGGAGGAGGAGGAGGAGGAGCTGAAGCTGTTGTTCATGGAGGCTACCCTCAAGGGGTCCCCTTACACTGAGACGGTTTTCATGTTGGTCTGGAACTCCGGAAGCAACTTGCTCTTCAGCATGTCGTCCTTCCCACGATATTCCCGAAGCATGTAATTCAGATACTCCTCCTGCAAGGAGATGCTCCTTCTGGTTAGGCCACCTGTGTGCCAGGTGTTACCCCGACTGCTCTTTAGAAGGCCAGATCCTGAAGTGGAAACTCAAGGACTTTGGCCATCTAATGAGAAGGAAGGACTCCCTGGAGAAGGGCCTAATGCTGGGAAAGATGGAGGGCAAGAGAAGAAGGGGACGACGGAGAAGGAGGTGGCTGGATGGAGTCCCTGAAGCAGTAGGTGTGAACTTAAATGGACTCTAGAAGATGGGAGAGGACAGGAAGGCCTGGAGGAACGTTGTCCATGGGGTCACGATGGGTCGGTCACGACTTCGCAATTAACAACAACAAAGTCAAAAATATATTTCACTTGAAAGAGCCCTCAAGCTATGATCCAATTCCGGGGAGACGGAGCTGAGAAAGGGGGAGGAAGTTATATGAGGGATGAAGAATGGCGCTGAGAAACAACGGGGAAATCAAGACAAAGGGCTTTGTAGTCCAACACATCTGGTGGGCCTCCATTTGGAGGAGATGGGGGCAACCTACGTTGATGATTCAGCCCTCTTTGTAAGGGGCCGGGGAAAAGTGGGGACGGGGATTTAGGGTCAAAAGAAGGCCCCTACCCAGTCCACAGAGCCATCGCAGTTGGCGTCCACCTTCATGAAAATGACATCCACGTCTTCATCAGAAAGTTCGCCCAGGATCTTCTTTATCGCTTTACGGAACCGTTCCATATCAAGCCCTAACGAGAACCGAAAAACAGATGCCATCAAATCTGTCCCAAAGGTGCTTCTTTTTTCAGGAGGCAACTGGACTCTCTTGGTTTCTCTTTGAAGAGGTTTCGCTTCTCATCCCAGAAGCCTCTTCAGGTTCTGACTGAATGCTGGGGAAGGATTTATACTCCTTGCAGACCGCCGGTCCTTTGCCTTCTTTGAGAGAGTCCTTGAGGCCACCTGGAGGTTCACCTGTGTCCTCAGGGTCACCTGAGTGGTGCAAATGGGCATGGAGCCTTCTTGGAACTGTTGAAAGGACTATGTTGTAGACTGGAGAAAGAGGGCAACCCCTTCACAAATGCAGGGCACAACGTAGGAGAAGAAATCCATCAGGACAAGATTCAGCGGTCCGTCTACATTTGAAAGACACAGGCCGCTCTTTCAAAGACAGCAAAGTCCACATTTTGGACCGAGAGGACCGCTGGTTTGAAAGAGGGGCCCATCTAGATTAAAACTGAACAGCCCTCCCTCAACAGAAGGGGAGGGATATGACACCACCTCTCTCCAGTCTACAACACAGTCCTTTCAACAGTGCTGGTTATTTGCATTCCTTTAGAGGGTCATTGAGGCCACTTGGAGGTTTGTATGTGTCCTCAGGGTCACCTGAGTGGTGCAAATGGGTGTGGAGCCTTCTACAACACGGTCCTTTCAACAGTTCCAAGAAGGCTCGACACCATTTGCACCACTCAGGTGACCTGAGGACACAGGTACGTCTAACCAGGTGTCCTCAACAACCCTCTCAAAGAAGGCAAATGACCAGTTTTGCAAGGAGTATAAATCCATCCCTTGCCCACCATCCAGTCAGAGCTGAAGAAGCTTCTGGGAGGAGAAGCGAAGAAATTTTCAAAGAAAAAACAAGAAAGTTCACTGGATGGTGGGGAAGGGAAGGATTTATATTCTTTGCAGACAGCTGGTCATTTGCATTCGTTTAAAGAGTCATTGAGACCACTTGGAGATTTACCTCTGCCCTCAGAGTCACCTGAGTGGTGCAAATGGGTGTGGAGCCATCTTGGAACTATTGAAAGGACCGTGTTGTAGAAGGCTCCACACCCATTTGCACCACTCAGGTGACCCTGAGGACACATACAAACTCCAAGTGGCCTCAACGACCCTCTAAAGGAATGCAAATAACCAGCGGTCTGCAAGGAGTACAAATCCTCCCATTTCCCCACCACCCAGTCAGAACCTGAAGAAGCTTCTTGGGTGAAAAGCGAAACGCCTTCAAGGAAAAACCAAAACAGTCCAGTTGCCTCCTGAAAAAAAAAGCACCTGGTGTCTCCAGGACTGGGGGAGAAGATCTCAAGTGGTTGTGTGGTCTTTGAAGCCCAGAGAAAGACCCCCCCTTCTTTCCCCCACCAGACAGAGCCACGGTGGAGTGAGGACCCTCCTCACCTTCGCCATCCACGTCTGCTTCTCGGAAAGTACGCTCCAACTTTTGCAAGTGGTCATAGTTGATCTGCTCCTCCAGCAGTTTGCAGCGGGCTTCGTCGTAAACATCTGCAAACTTCATCAAGTGCCGGTGGGATGAACACAGGCGCCCGGCTTTGCTCAGGATGCCGGGAAGCCTCATCTGTGGGAAGGATCAGAACGTCCGTAGTCCTTGACTTACGACCCCAACCGACCCCAACGTTTCCGTCGCTAAGCGGGACACCCGTTTACTGAGCTTTGCCCCCTTTGACGACCTTCCCTGCCTCCATTGTTAAGCGAATCGCTGCAGTTGTCAATGCTGCAAATATTGTATTATTCTTGCTTTTGACAAGATGCAGAATTGTCTGGTAGTTATGGGGTTAATACAGAGCCGAAGGGGGGTTGGGGGTAAAGCCCTGGAAACAATGAGGAAGGAAACCTTTGACCTTCACACTAATTGGATAATGTGAGATATGACGGCTAATTTAGGGAGGGAACATGCTGATAATTTAACTGCTCAGAGGAAGAGAAGTTAGATCAGTGTTTGTCAACCGTGACAATTTGAAGGCATGTGGACTTCAACTCCCAGAATTCCACAGCCAGCAATGCTGGCTGTGGAATTCTGGGAGTTGAAGTCCACATGCCTTCAAATTGTCACGGTTGAGAAACACTGACTTAGATCCTAGCATCCCTCTGTTATGCACGTGCCGACATTTTGTCACGATCACTGACTTTTAGGAAAATAAATGCCTGGAAGTTCTTTGAAGTGTTTCATTAGCCGGAACCATAACAGCGGTGGTTAAATTGGCCACTGGGTTAAATGAATCTGCTTGTCAGAAGTTCGCAAAAGGGGATCACGTGGCCCCTCTCCCCCCTCGCAGGGTACTGCAACCGTCATAAATCCGAGTCAGTTGCCAAGCGTCGGGATTTTTTTATCACGGGGCCAGGGGGGATGCTGCAGCCCTCATAAGTGCGAAAAACGGCCGTGCACGTGTCACTCTTTTTCCGTGCGGTTGCAACTCGGAACAATCGAAATGCACTGTGCTGCAGCCCCTTTCCCAGATACTTACTGCAGGGTGTGGCGCTGTTGCTACCTGTTTGAAGCCCAAGTCTCCCTCGGAATCCACACCTCCCCTAAAAATAGAGAGGCAAGCCGACATCAACTCCAAGACCGTAAATGCTGGCCTGTGGTCAGCAGAGCCCGCCCGCCCCGTTGAACCGTCCAGGTGGAGGGTTGGAAAAAAGAAGAGATTCATAACTCAGCGGCGAACTCCGAGGCCGGCTTGTTTTCTTGCACGCGTTTCGTGGCTCGGCTAGCTAAAAGCATCAGTCTAGTAGGGAGAGAGGCTTGTGGAGGGCTGGTGGAGGAGGACCGTGGGGTCCTTGGTCCTCTCTGAGATTGGTGGTTTGCTTGCAGATGTTTCAGGATCCAACTCCATGACCTCGGCAGCGCTAGAGTGAATGGTGTTTGCAGGGAGGAGGAGGAGGAGAAGAAGTAAGGAGAAGAAAGACTGTGGGGTCCTTGGTGGTCTGTGAGCTGGGTGGTTTTCTTGCAGACGTTTCATGACCCAACTAAGTAACATCATCAGTGCTAGAAGGAAGGGTTTGCAGAGAGGAGGAGGAGGAGGAGGAGGATTGTGGGGTCCTTGGTGGTCTGTGAGCTGGGTGGTTTTCTTGCAGACGTTTCATGACCCAACTAAGTAACATCATCAGTTGTAGAAGGAAGGGTTTGCAGAGAGGACAAGGAAAAGGAGGAGGAGGAGGAGGAGGAGGAGGAGGAGGAGGAGGAGGAGGAGGAGGAGGAGGAGGAGGAGGAGGAGGAGGATTGTGGGGTCCTTGGTGGTCTGTGAGCTGGGTGGTTTTCTTGCAGACGTTTCATGACCCAACTAGGTAACATCATCAGTGCTAGAAAGCAATAGTGTTTGCAGAGAGGAGGAGGAGGAGGAGATTGTGGGGTGTTTGCTGCTTTCTGAGCTTGCTTGTTTTCTTGTAGATGTTTCATGGCCCAACGAGGGAACATCATCAGTGCTAGAAGGAAGTGGGGTTTGCAGAGATGATAATGATAATGAGGAGGAGGGGGAGAAGGAGAAGGAGGAGGACTGTGGGGTCTTTAGTGCTCTCTGAGCTGGGTGGTTTTCTCGCTGACCTTTCATGACCCAACCATGCAACATCATCAGTGCTAGAAAGCAATGGTGTTTGCAGAGGAGGAGGAGGAAGAGGAGGAGGATTATGGGGTTCCTGGTGCTTTCTGAACTTGGTGGTTTTGTTGCAGATGTTTTATGATCCAACTAGGAAACGTCATCAGTGCTAGAAGGGAGTGGGGTTTGCAGAGATGAGGAGGAGGACGGTGAGACCTTGGTGCTCTCTGAGCTTAGTTGTTTCCTTGCAGACGTTTCATGACCCAACTAGGCAACATCATCATCATTAGTGTTAGCTCTAGTGACTAGCACTGATGAAGTTACCTAGTTTGGGTCATGAAATGTCTGCAAGAAAGCAACCAAGCTCAGAGGGCACCAAGGACCTCTCAAGATACCAACTGTTCATCCTCACTTCTTGAAGGCTTTCCTTGAACATGGGTACCCTAAAGTGGACTTCCCTTCCAGATCTTTTTGAAGGCCCAGCAACCGGTCAAGATCAACCCTGAGAATCCTTAGATGGGGCTGAGTTTATGTAACTCTCAATCCAGAGCAGTTTCTCAACCTTAGCAACATTGAGATAAGTGGATGGCTGGGAATTCTGGGAATGGAAATCCACATATCTTCAAGTTGCTAAAATTGAGAATCACGGTTCTATAATCAGGGTTGAATGCCCACAACACCTTGAACCCCTAAGCTATCCAAACCTCATTTCCGCCTTTCACCAAACTTATTGTGTGAATATAAGCAGAGAATCCATTCAGAATAAACAGAATAATAGAGTTGGAAGACACCCTGGAGATCTTCTAGTCCAAGCAGGAAACCCTAGACCAGTGTTTCCCAAACTTGGCAATTGTAAGGCATGAGGACTTCAACTCCCAGAATTCCACATGCCTTACAATTGTCAAGTTTGGGAAACACTGCCCTAGACCATTGCAGACAAATGGTTGTCCAATTTCCTCTTTAAAACCTCCAGTGATGGAGCACCCACAACTTCTGGAGGCAAGGTGTTCTACTGGTTAATTGTCCTCACTGTTAGGAAGTTTCTCCTTAGTTCTAGGTTGCTTCTCTCTTTGATGAGTTTCCATCCATTGCTTCTTGTCCGGCCTTCAGGTGCTTTGGAGAATAGTTTTGATCCCCTCTTCTCTGTGATAGCCCCTCAAATATTGGAAGACCACTATCATGTCACCCCCTACTCCTTCTTTTCATTAAACTAGACATGTCCAATTCCTGCAACCGTTCTTCATATATTTTAGCCTTCAGTCCCCTAATCATCGTTCACGTCACAAAGTCCAAAATCATTTAAGATGTTGAGGGACTGGAAAAAATCGAGAGAAGAGAAATTAAGATGATCAAAGACCTGGAGACCAAAATGTATGAAGAACGGCTGCGGAACTTGGGTTTGGCTAGTCTAAAGAAAAGAAGAAATAGGGGAGACATGATAGCAGCGTTCCAGTATTTGAAGGGCTGCCACAAAGAAGAAGAGGGGGTCACGTTATTCTCCAAAGCAGCAGAGGGAAGGACAAGAAGCAACGAATGGAAACTGATCAAGGAGAGAAACAACCTGGAATTAAGGAGAAACTTCCTAACAATGAGGACAATCAACCAGTGGAACAGAAGTTGCCTCCAGAAATCCTGGGCGCTCCATCACTGGAAGTTTTTAAAAAGAGACTGGACAATTATCTGACTGAGATAGTGTAGGACCTCCTGCTTGAGCATGGGGCTGGACTAGAAGACCTCCAAGGTCCCTTCCAGTTCTATTCTATTCAGCTGTTGTGGTTGCCAACCGTGTGGTGGTGGTGTTAAGCCAATTGCAAGTTGCTGAAGAAACCGTGGTTAAAGAAATGTGTAACTTGGCACCAGGAATGAATTCAACATCAGCCATGGATGCCAGCAGAGAGAGGGAAGTCGTCTGCTCCTGGTAGAAGGACACAAGAGAGCACTACTTACCATGTGACGGAGGGATGGAGACTCAGCTTTCCTGGAGTGCTGATTTGAGAGTCATTCCCCCAGCTGAAGAAAGCATTGGGGGTCCTCCCAATGGAAGAGGTTGTCGTTCGATGATAGGACTCCTGTTGCATGTTTAGGCACCGATTCAGGAGGTCCAACCTGAACTTTCTCCACTTCTTTGGCTCCCCACAAACTCAACTGTGATGTCAAACTTCGGAACGCTGATCTCACTTCCCAGAACATCTGGAGCTCCTGGTGTTGCCCTGACATACACAAGTTTTCTAGTCGCGGTAGAAGTCTTTCACTCGTGTCATCGTTCTACCTCTTTGGGGACAGTGACCGTCTTTTCGTCCTTGAGGGACCCACCGTTGGGACCACCGGAACCCAAAGGCTACAAAGGCTGAAGGCAGCTTACAACACACACACGTCCACAAAATCCTACGTGGCAAGCCAGCCAAGGATCCATAGCCCAGGTCCGTCAATCGTACCAATGCTCGCCGGGATGAGATGGTTCTTAGACCTTTGCAGAACGCACGGAAAGGGTCCTCAAAACGTGGAGGCATTTACAACCCAAATGTTGGAGATGTGGTAACACGGATGCGACTTATTTTCATGTTTGGTGGAATTGTAAAAAGGTAAAGGCTTTTTGGATTATGATTTGGTGGAACATTCAAAAGATTTTTAAAAGGAAGATAAAGTTTGCTTTTTAGTACTGTCCATGGGGTTTTCATGGCAAAGATACTGGAGTGGTTTGCCATTTCCTTCTCCAGTGGATCACATTTTGTCAGAACTCTCTGCTATGACCTGTCCGTCTTGGGTGGCCCTGCACGGCATAGCTTATAGCTTCATTGAGTTACGCAAGCCCCTTCGCCACGACAAGGCAGTAATCCATAGAAGAAGGGGACGACAGAGAATGAGATGGCTGGATGGAGTCACTGAAGCAGGAGGCGTGAACTTAAATGGACTCCAGAAGATGGTGGAGGACAGGAAGGCCTGGAGGAACGTTGTCCATGGGGTCGCGATGGGTCGGACACGACTTCGCAATTAACAACAACAACAAAGTTTACTCCTCAATTATTTTTATTGGGTATTTTTGTGGATTTAGATGATAAAGAAACTATTTTAATGTTGAATTTATTAACTGCAGCAAGGTTGCTAGTAGGTTCATATTGGAAGAAAGATTCGTTGCCTACTTTAGAAGAATGGATATTTAAAGTTTCTCATTTTGCAGAAATGGCAAAAATTTCTGCTTATTTAAAGGATCATACACAAGAAAGATATATTATTGTATGGAGAAGATGGATAGATTATATTCAGAAGAAGTATGGGACTATAAAATTTCATTTATTTTATGAGTAAATTTTATAGTAAATGTTGTATAAGAGATTTGTTTATGATGATGTAATTTAAGGGGAGTTAAGGGCTATGTATGATTTTTTTCTCTTTCTTTTTTCTTTTTTATTGTATATTGTTCATTTTGTTATTAACAACCCTGTACTCTGCTCTGGAAAGTGAGGGGGGGTTGAGGGTGGGTGGGTGAGTGGGTGGGTAAATAGGTAGAATAGGATAATGAAGATATGGTAATTTATGGAGAGGTGCTGCTTGGGCACTTCCCCTAGGCTGCATTCCTGTATTTGAGAGGGATGAGAGGGGAGGAAGGTGAAGGGAGGAAGTAGGATGGTAAGAGGAGAAGGGGAGGGGAAGAGAGTAGTGAGGGGAGGAGAGAAAGAGGAGGGAAGTAGGGAAGGTATTAGAGAGGGTGGATGCAGCTTGGGGGAATGAGCAAGCGGCACCTATGGTTATGGTTATGGTCATGAATTTATTTTATTTTGTAAAGTGAATTTTGTCGTATAATTATGTTGGATAATTGGAAAATAAAAATTTTTATTAAAAAAAAAAACATGGAGGCATGAAGTGATTTGCCACCTCTAGGCCCCCCTCCCCCAATCCTTTCTCCTCGTATGGGGTGGGCAGCTTCTGCAACTGCTCTTGGATTGAACGTATATAATTGTGGAGAAGAGAGAGGAAACACGAAGGACCATCCGAAAGGTGCCTTTTCACGAGGTAACTGGACTTTCGTGTCTCGTTTCGCTTCCCATCCAAGAAGCTTCTTCACTTCCGACTGGATGGTGGGGAATGGAAGGATTTCTATTCTTTGTAGTCATCTGGTCGTTAGTACTCTTCCTGAGAACTGTGGGCAGCCACTTGGATACAGGATACAAATAAAGCCCAAGTGGCCCCAACGACTCTCAGAAAGAGTACAAACGACCAGATGACTACAAAGAATAGAAATCCATCCATTCCCCACCAGGCAACCAGACTTTCTGGTTTTTCTTGCTGAAGACATTTTGCTTCTCATCCCAGAAGCTTCTTCAGGTTCTGACCGAATGGTGGGGGAAATGGAAGGATTTATACTCCTTACAGACTGCTGGTCATTTGCCTTCTTTTAGAGAGTCTTTCAGCAGAGACTGTTAGTTGATTTTTAATTATATTAAACTTGGATGAAATGTTATATTAGTGAATGAATTGGTTTTAGAAAGATATCGAGTTGATTATAATGTTCTTAAGACATGTAGTTTTATAGATTAAAATTTTTATTGATTAATGTAGTTGATGGTTAGATATAGTGATGAATGAATTCATTTGAAAATGTATTAATTTGATTATAATATTCTACATAGAAAGAGAGGGAAATCTTTAAGAAATACTGGGTATATATGTACTATGTTATTGCTTGTTTTTTAAAAAAATGGATCACCATGTTTCCAAGTGGGTTCTTAAGCTGTGTTGGTGTAAAATGGAAAACTAATAAAAATTGTTTGGAAATAGAGAGTCATTCAGGCCATTTAGAATAGGGGTGCCCAACCTGTGGGCTAAGGCCCATTACTGGACCATGTGTGCATGCAGTCACCCTTACTCGCACTAGTGTCGTTGCTATGCAAACGGGGCGGTGCGCAGCAAAAACAGGGCACTGAGCTGTGAAAACGGGGTGGTGCTAACGCCCCCACAGCAAAAACGGGTCTGTGCTAGTGTCATGTGGGCGCTAGCACCGCCCCATTTGCATCACATGTGCTCGCAGCCGTGTGTGTGTGTGAACAAGTCCAACGTTGGCTTTTTATCCATTTTCTTCTATCGATGCAGACGAAGGTAGAAGATGGAACAGTCTCTCGGTAGGTTGGTCAAAAATTGCTTTCATTCCCAGACTAAGCCTCGCAGGAGTGGTGTGAAAACCACTCCTCTTCTCTTGAGCATCATGAGCTCACTCAGTCAGCCAGGTCATCCAGCCATACCCAAGGCGGAATTAGAACTCACCGTCTCCTGGTGATTGGCCCAAAGTCACCCAGCCAGCTTTTGTGCCTAAGGCAGAAGTAGAACTCCCAGTCTCCACCAGCTGGTTTTTGTGCCTAAGGCAGGACTAGAACTCCCAGTCTCCATCAACTGGCTTTATGCCTAATGCAGGACTAGAACTCCCAGTCTCCACCTGCTGGCTTTTGTGCCTAAGGCAGGACTAGAACTCACCGTCTCCTGGTGATTGGCCCAAGTCAACCAGCTGGCTTTCAAGCCTAAGGTGGAACTAGAGCTTACCATCTCCTGGTGATTGGCCCAAAGTCACCCAGTCAGCTTTTATTGCTAAGGCAGGACTAGAACTCCCAGTCTCCACCTGCTGGCGTTTGTGCCTAAGGCGGGACTAGAACTCCCAGTCTCCTGGTAATTGTCCCAAAGTCACCTGGCCAGCTTTTGGGCCTAAGGCGGGACTAGAACTCCCAGTCTCCCAGCGATTGGCCCAAAGTCACCCCGCTGTCTTTCATGCTGAAGGCGGGATTAGAATTCGTCTTCTGATGATTGGCCCCACATCACCCAGTCGCCTTCCTTGCCTAAGGCAGAACTAGAACTCCCAGTTTCCTGGGGATTGGCCCAGCTTCCACCAGGAAGGCAGGACTAGAACTCACCGCCTCCCACTTTCTATCCTGGTGCCTTTAAGAGCAAGCCAAAGTGGCTCTGAATTCACCCCAAAGATGCTGGTCCAGCAACCGACACTAGCTACACCCAGGTGCCGTGAACCACCGCGGACCAAGGATGATGTGAACAAAAGAAAGCAGAGAACTTTGAGGGTATTCTGACTCTGATAAGACTCTTGATTCTTTTAAATCAAGTCAGATAGATAACTCAAAAGAAACCATCTCATAATAAACAAAAAATACATTTTAATCAAAAAGATTACTTGCATTCCCGCTGGGGTTGATACTCCTGGAAAATACATTTTTGTCCATTTCTTCAGACCATTTCTTTAGGTAAAAGCATGATGCTCTCTTCCATACCATCTTTATAACGGCTCAGGCTCATTGTGTGACCTTCCATGGCCCATGCTTCTTACAGACCAAGAGATTCCCATCTGGCTTGTGTCCAAGAAGTCTCCCAATGACCTTTTTAGACTCCTCCCATTGACCCCTCAACATACCTAGCATTTAACCCAATAACTGCCAGATATTCTAACCTACGGATACTTGCTCTCTAGTTAGGTTTTTGTACGTTCCAGAATAGAGGGTCGACAGAAAAGACCTCGAGGGGGAAACGAAAACAACCCCTGCACGAACACAATACTCTAGAAGACGCCAGGTTCTTGAAATAACAGAACTTTATTTAGAAACTGTTTAAAAGTAGAAAAAAACCCTGTGAAAAGGAGCTCTGGTGTGAATTAACGTTTAGGGCAAAACGTGTCTTAGAAGGCCACAAGAGAAACAGCACCCTCTGATGTTTTAAATAATGGCTTTCTTTTCTGTCTTTTCCCTTCTTTCATTTTTTTTTTTCCTTTTTCTTTTTTCTTTTTGGCATTCGTCAAAACGTGGGTCTCCCGCTGAACGGTCATTAAGGAAATCATGCACTACACAACAAGTTACCGTTAACTCTTTTTGTTTTTTCTACACACACCTATCGAGACACACAATCACCGGAAGCAAACGGACGAAAGGAACGCACCAAGCCGGAAGCTTAGCCTTTGCTGTGGCGAGGGGGAACGGGGTGGGGTGGGGGTGGGAGGTCCGAAACCTCCCAAATCCCCCTCCCCAAAGAGCAGCCATTGGGGAGAGGAAGAGGAGGAGGCTTGCTCTGCACAAGAGGGGAGGGGGGGGGATAGAGGGTCAAGCAAAGAATACTGCAATAATCAAAATTCACCGGAGCACTCTTCTATCAGATCACCTATTTAATGCACAATTTTTTCTCTCTCTCTTTTTTCTCTGCAGCACCTGCGCAGGTAACTCAGAGGGGGGGGGAGGGCTGCAACGGAGGCATTGCACGCTCACCCAGGCCGTTCTCGGTGCGGGCTGCAAACTAACTCGCCAGTCCAGTCCAGCGAGGGCGGAGCGTTACACCCAGGTGTGCCCTCTCCAATCTTTCAGATGCAGACTCCCCCGTTTTACTATCCTAGCTCGGGGGGAGAGGATGGCAGCTGCTATCCAAAACAAGGTGTGTTGTCGTGGTGTTTTTTCCCACTTTGGGCAGTGGGTTTGGAAGCAGAGGGAGTGGGGGGGGGCAGAGAGGAAGAGAGGGACCCCCGTCTTGAGTGGAGCAGAGGTGGAGCAGCAGGGGCTGGAGGGGGGGGAGAAAGAAGATTCGGGCGAGGAGTGAGGATCATATTGAGAAATGTCCAACTTGGGCCACTTTGAAGACGGGTGGACTTCAACTCCCAGAATTCCCCAGCTGGGGAATTCTGGGAGTTGAAGTCCACCCATCTTCAAGTGGTTCAGAACAGACACTTCTATTCTTGGGGCCCAAAGCTCTTATTGCGTTGGACCACAAGAAGAAAAGACAAAGAGGGGTTTCGGGCACCTGCTTAAACTTTTTTTTTTAATTTTTTTTGGCAACCGGAGCCTACTACAAAGTCCATTCTCCTACAACGCCGTCAGCCACGCTGGCCCGCTTCCACACAGCTCCCCAACTCCCACGAGCAGCCCAAACAATCCCTTCTTAAGCTCTGCTTCTCTTTTTTAAGCGTCTCGACTCTCCTCCGTCGCTTTCCTGGGAACGGTCGCCAGGACGTACCACTTCAGCCCCCCCTCCTCTCCCTACAAGATGACCCCCCCTGCTGAAAAGACCCCCCCAAAAAAAATCCTTAGGGAGCCTCTCCTGCTTCACTCGCCCCCCCACACACACACTCCACCAGAAACACACCGCGCCGCAAATCCTCCCTCCGTTTTAGGGCCCGACGGGAGCAACTCGGCAAAGGCCAAAAGCCTTCCACCGACGCCAGAGGGATGTGGGTCACACCGTTCCGATACGAAAAGCGAGAAGGGGGGGGAAATAATAAAAATAAAAATAAGAACAACCCGTCAGTGGGGGGGGAGAGTAGTAAAACGTACGCAAAGTGCACTTGGAGAAGTACTTAATTTTTGTGTGTGTGTTTTTGTTTTTTTGTTTTGTTTTACTTTTGAAAAGAAACCAGTGAAGTCCTGTAAGAATAAAATGGAGTATTTTACAGATAAACACATGATTGGCGGGGGGGGGGGCAAAGATTTCTGACTTCTGAGGCTGCTGCTCGGCTGGTTAAAGTCGTTAATACTCTTCCTGGTCCTCCGGGGGGGCTCCTTCATCCGGTATCACAAAGCCTTCCTAAAAAAAGAGTCAGAAATCAGGAAATAATAATGATAATGATGTTGGAAGGTGCCTTGGAGGTCATCTAGTCCAACCCCCTGCTCAGGCAGGAAATGTTCAGTTGACTGAGATTCATGTCTAATGAATAAAAGATAATGATGATGATGATGATGATGATGATAATAATAATAATAATAATAATAATAATAATAATAATAATAATAATAATAATGTTGGAAGGTGCCTTGGAGGTCATCTAGTCCAACCCCCTGCTCAGGCAGGAAATGTTCAGTTGACTGAGATTCATGTCTAATGAATAAAAGATGATGATAATAATAATAATAAAAGTTGGAAGGGGCTTTGGAGGTCATCTAGTCCAACCCCCTGCTCAGGCAGGGAACTCTATACCAAATTATCCCTTTCCACACGATCTTAGGGATTTGCACTACAAAGTAAACTGCTCCGCATGAGGGAATTTATACGGGGAGCTGCACATTCTCTAGTATACAGTAGTGGCCAAAATTGTGGAACCCTTTTGGGAAAAGTAGAAATGCCCCCTTTGGTTAAGCTTCCACCCATTTTCTTTCTAATCTCTTCATAACTGTAGCCTTCTTCGCTTAATAATCCTGTTTTACATCGCTTTCTGGGCAACCAGTTAACTCTTGGCACCATGGCTTTAATTTTATGACGCTTTACAAGCTCACTCAATGGAAGAAGACCAAAAAAAAAAAAAAAAACCCCAACCTGCTGGATAGCGATCACATAACACACTGACCAACGTCCTCCTCTCAGCTTCAATACAGGACATCCATCACTGGATTCTACTGTGATCTAATTGGCTCATGGCCAAAACAAGATGACACCCGATTGGCTCTCTAAACACTCACGCTCATTGGCTACAATCAGATGAAGGAAAGCTACCTGACATCCACCCGAGCAAGTTGTGCTTCCTTTTTCTGGTTCTTTGGCTATAGCTTTTCATAGAACACAGTCCAGATCATTGAACAAACTATGTTGCATTACATTCTCGATTAAATTATCTTTCCATTGATATATAATTTTATGGTACTACTCCCCCTGAAAAAGTGGTGGTATTAGCCCTCCAACCTCAAAAATACACTTTTCCCAAAAGGTTTCCACAATTTTGGCCACTACTATACAAATGATCCAGAGTTTAAACTGGAGGATTTTCCAAAGCACAGAGAAGAGCCACAAAGATGATCAGGGGACTTGGGGCTAAAACATACGAGGAACAGTGGCTGGAATTGGATATGTCCAGTTTAAGGAAGAGAAGGACGAGGGGGGACATGATAGCAGCCTTCCAATATCTCAGGGGCTGCCCCAAAGAAGAGGGAGTCAAGCTCTTCTCCAAAGCCCCTGAAGGCAGGATGAGAAGCAACGGATGGAAACTAATCAAGGAGAGAAGCAACCTAGAACTACGGAGAAACTTCCTGACAGTGAGAAAAATTAACCAGTGGAACAACCTGCCTCCAGAAGCGGTGAATGCTTCAACACTGGAAGTTTTCAAGAAGAGACTGGACAGCCATTTGTCCAAAATGTTAAAGGGTCTCCTGGTTGAGCAGGGGGTTGGACTAGAAGACCTCCAAGGTCCCTTCCAACTTTATTATTCTGTTATTTAGTGGAACTACCTGCCTCCAGAAACTGTGGGTGCTCCATCACTGGAGGTTTTCAAGAAGAGACTGGACAGGCATTTGTCTGGAATGTTATAGGGTCTCCTATTTGACTAGAAGACCTCTAAAGTCCCTTTCAGCTCTGCTATTGTTAAAACCTTGAAGGAAATATGCACAAAAGGCCTTCGTTGCAAAGAAGCGAGTGCCAAGGGCGTGAAAAGCAAAAGGCTGACAACGCAGACTTTAAAAAAAAAATGAAATAAACAAAATGAAATTAATGGCACCAGCGGTGACTGAAAAAAAAAAAATCACTCCAATAAATCCCAAAGGTGCTTTTTCCCCAAAAGCAACCGGACTGTCTTGGGGTTTGTTTTGTTTTTTTTTAATTCCTTGAAAACGTTTCGCTTCTCATCCTAAGAAACCTCTTCACTTCTTCTTCGGATGAGAAGCGAAACGTTTTCAAGGAAAAACCAAACAAGTCGGGTTGCCTTTTGGGTATTGCTATTATTGTTATTATTATTTTATTATTTAAGATCCTTGGGGTGGGTGACATTATTGGGGAGGGGTCTTCTCTTTTGGGAGCAGTGCGTGGGAACTTCATTTTTAGCGTGTGCCATGGCGTGTACAGAAAAATGACCATAAAGGTTATTTAATTCCATTCAATTCGTGCAGGGAAGGGTGCAGAGCCCATCAATAACGCCCGAGCCCAAAGCGGGGAGCGCCACCGCCAGATCACACCCACTTACATCTGTAGCATAAAGTATCTCCACGATTCTCTGGAGGACCGGATCACTTTCGCCTTCGTTCTCCTGGCAGATCAGCTCGATGTTCCTCAGTTTCCCGAAGTAGAAATCTCGTTCCTTTTCTAAATCTTCCACAGTCATCTTTAATGCGTTGATCTGACCCAAAAAAAAAAAAAAAAATAGCCCATCTCAGAGCCCAGGACGCCACCACAAAGAGCCGTGGGGGCGCAGTGGTCAGAAGGCAGCATTGCAGGCTGACTCTGCCGACTGCCAGGCGTTCGATCCTGACCGGCTCAAGGTTGACTCGGCCTTCCCTCCTCTTCTGAGGTCGGTAAAGCGAGGACCCAGATTGTTGGGGGGAGGGGGGCAAATGGGCTGACTCTGTAAACTACTCAGAGAGGGCGATAAAGCACTATGAAGCAGTATATAAGTCCAAGGGCTATTACTATTGCTCTACACCCCCTCTCTATAATCTCTGTGTCATTTGTCTGTTTATCATCTATCTATTTATCATCTATCTATCATCTATCATATATCTATCATCTATCTATCTATCTAATATATATCATCTATCTCTATGTATCATATTTCATCTATATCATCTATCTATATGTATCATATCTATCATCTATCTATATCTATCATATATCATCTATCTATCTATGTATCATATATCATCTATCTATCATCTATATTTGTCTGCCTGCCTGCCTGCCTCCATCCATCCATCCATCTATCCATCCATCCATCCATCCATCCATCCATCCATCCATCCATCTATCTATCTATCTATCTATACATCCATATCTATCTATCTATCTACCTACCTATCTATCCATCCATATCTATCATCCATCTATCTATCTATCTATCTATCTATCTATCTATCTATCTATCTATCTATCTATCTATCTATCTGTACATCCATATCTATCTATCTATCTATCTATCTATCTACCTACCTACCTACCTACCTATCCATCCATATCTATCATCCATCCATCTATCTATCTATCTATCTATACATCCATATCTATCTATCTATCTATCTATCTATCTATCTATCTATCTATCTATCTATCTACCTACCTACCTACCTATCCATCCATATCTATCATCCATCCATCCATCTATCTATCTATCTATCTATCCATCCATATCTATCTATCTACCTACCTACCTATCCATCCATATCTATCATCCATCCATCTATCTATCCATCTATCTATCCATCCATCCATCTATCTATCTATCTATCTATCTATCTATCTATCTATACATCCATATCTATCTATCTATCTATCTATCTATCTATCTATCTATCTATCTATCTATCTATCTACCTACCTACCTACCTATCCATCCATATCTATCATCCATCCATCCATCCATATCCGTCCCCATCTCTCTCTCTCTCTCTCTCTCTCTCTCTCTCTCTCTCTCCTTACCTACCTACCTACCTATCGTTGCCTATTCTATATCTTGTGGCACAGAATGCAGTATTGCAGGCTGACTTTGCCCACTGCTGGGAGTTCGATCCTGACCGGCTCAAGGTCGACTCAGCCTCCCATCCTTTCGAGGTCAGTAAAATGAGGACCCAGATTGTTGGGGGGGGGCAACAGGCTGACTCTGTAAACCGCTAAGAGAGGGGCCGTAAAGCAGTATGGAGGGGTATATAAATGCTGTTGCTACTGCAATATTTTCCTTCCTTCCTTCCTTCTCCTGTTCCTCTCTTTCTCCTTTTTCTGAGCCCTGGTGGCGCAGCAGTTAGAATACAATACTGCAGGCAAGGGGGGAGGGAAGGAGATATTTCTCTGTGTGTGTGTGTGTGTGTGTGTGTGTGTGTGTGTGTGTGTGTGTCACCCATGTGAGCATGCACTCCATTTCCGTAAGCGGCGGGCGGGCCGGCGAGCACCGCTCAAACAAATGGAGCTTGGCGTGGGAGCGTAAGCG